CTAAGATGTAATTAACTATAGGGGCTTGCCCTTATAGGAAACTTTTCTCGAACCCAGCATAATATAAACCCTATTTAATTCCTTATATTAAATAGGAGAATTTGTGGGCCAATACATTGATTTCGCAGACCAAACAGATGTCATAAATTTCTTTAGTTTATTTGATCGAGCCTCACCCTCAACTCTTGTGTTTATCCTTCGGGATAGATACAAGATTTGAGGTAAAGAGCTCTTTCATCTAAACTATGAAAATTATGAGGTCAGTTTGACTTCATCTTTTTTCAAAACCCAACTTCAACGTCCTTCCGAAGCGGGCAACGGGATTTCAATTCTGATGACCGACAGCTTCTTACAGGCAAACCCCATACCAAAAATAGTGCGGACATTAACGTTATAATTATTTGTAGACATCATAATCAACATAGAAATAGATTATCGTTTGGAAGTCTTATCAAAATTAAAATGTTTCCTTTCATTATACTCTCATTGCCACTTCCTAAACCTACATATTTGAATGTTCCAGCTGTTAATACTGGTAGTAACACTATCTCTTCAGATACAATTGCCTTTAATATTAATCCTACTATTAACCCTCATTATAACTCTTTGATAACCCATACCAACACTTTATCTGATATTATTTCTAATCGGGTGATGTTAGCATCCAATAACACAAACATAACATCTCTATCCCACCACCTACCAAATCTCTCTTACCTCGTAGCTCAAAAGACAAGAAAGGCCAACTCAAGAGGCAAGAATACTATTTACATCAATAATATATGTTATTTCTGAAAATTGCGTCTTATAAAATGTATGATTTTAATGATAAAACATGTATCAGAAACTATAAAAATTTATAAAAAAAATTATAATATTTCATTTAAAACTAATATATCCATTTATATTACACATCGTTTTACTTCTATGGGCATCAACATATTCATTATAGAAGGAAGTCTTACTAATTTCAATATGGTTATCCATGGTCTTACCTGGGTTAAGTGGAACTTTAAATGATTTATCCAATGCTTTGAAAATTAATTCATTATTTGAGGCTTCTATCATCATCCTACATATTTCATATCATATCATTGGCTACTAACATCAATGAGCGTTATACTTCTATGATAGACTTTAATTAAACACTTTACTATCCAAATTGGGTGTTGTCACCCCAAGACCTTACAAAATATTTGATTTTTAACTCATGTATTTGCAATTTTAGCTTTATGAAACTTTCAAATATTGGTCTTTATATAGTTAGTTCAATTGATAACTTGAAAATCTAATTGGATGTCCTTTGGACTTGGGCTCAATAATGCTCAATGTTTAGGTATTTTTCAACCTTCACACTTCAAAGTTGTGGAACCATTAATATCCAACCAATCTTCTATTTTAGTATCACTTAAGAATAATTTTAAACCAAAATACAGGTTTATGTACAACAACTTTAAGTCTCACTATTTTAATCCTTTTAACATTGTTCAATTTACAAGGGAAATTCTTATGCTTGGTCACCTTATAATAATTCTTAGCAATAAGTTAATAAATGTAAAAGTTGTTATCAAAAGGATTCCTAGGAACTCTTTAAACTAAATACTTAACACTATATTGGAACTTAAATATAAGAAAAAGAAAATTTTCTCTTAAAATTTTTAATATCAACCTTTATAAAAAATCCTTTCAATGAAGTAATTTCAAATCAAAATAGTTTGATCAAGGCTAGTGAATGTGAAAATAAATAGATTAAGAAATGTACTAATTGCACATGACTTTCTAAAGTACAGGTTGATATTAATTTTCTATATCAAATAGTCAAGTGTAGAGGCAATTATAATAATATTAAAGAGATCTCAACCATCAACTCTACCAACCATTCAAATGATGATATTATCAACAAAGCTATTACTTCTCTTAAATTACTTAATAATCATGATGACCCCATATTATCATCTTCTTCTCTCCACATTGCTTGATGTCATAATTCTTAATAATTTCATAATCTTCTTATTACTTATACTAATGATTAAAACAAAAAGCTATTTTAGCATTGGATCTAATAAAGCTTCAAGCTCTGCAGTAAGATTTTTCAAACAACCTCCGCTAGTTTCTTAGAGATTTTTAAATATAATTGATTTGTTAGTATTTTCTGTTTGGAAACTACAAAGAACATCTTTTATATCTTTAATGTTCCAAATAGGGTCAAACATTTGCCAATTACTCTTAGTTATAAAAAATAACATGATAAATCTTTAAATGACTATGAACTCATTTCACTTTATAAGATCTCTTATAAGGTTATATCTAAGCTCATTACAAGTAAGCTTTGTTCTTTGCTTCCTGCTTTTGTTCATCCTACCCAAAAGTTCTTCATTCATGATCATGATATAGCTAATATTATTATTTTAAAAAATAAACTTCTATATGTGTTGAATTTTTCTTCTAGCCCAACATAAATTTCACTAAGATTTATCCAAAAAAAAACTTTTGATAATGTTAATAATCAATTATTTTAAGATTGGCTCAAATATATTGGTTTTTCTATCACCTTCATTAAATAGAATAAAGCTTGCACTTTTTAAGAACTATTCTAAGGGCATCTTCCCATCATCTTCAAAGTTACAACAATGATAACCCTTATCTCCATATCTTTTTACATTTGTTATGGATATTTTTTTAGACTGATAAATATTTTTATACAAATGATTTATATTCTAGTTTCATTACAAATGAGAATATTTTTTAGACTGATTTTTGGAGCTACCTGGGGAGGGTGGGG